TAAAGTATATTACATTAGCTTTAATTTAAGATATATATAAAAGTGTCAGTCTTTCCGGAACATTTTCAAAAGTTAAGTTAAAAATGTTAATTTTTTGTAAAAAAGTTATCATTTTGAAACCTTTCCTGTGGACTGTTAAAGGGTCAAATGTTCACAAAAATATATAAAATGATAGGTAAATATTTAAGGTATCTATAAAAAAAAAAATATATNAAAAATATATAAAATGATAGGTAAATATTTAAGGTATCTATAAAAAAAAAATTATATTGATTCGATCATTTTTAAAAAAGTTATGGCAATTTTAAGTAAAAAAAATTGAAAAAATATCGAAAATTAGCGATTTTTAAATTTGTAATTTTTTAGGGGATTTCCCCCGTTTATGGGGAACGAGGGAACTTTTTTCAATTTTTGAGGGTAATATATTCGACTAGATACGATTTGTGATCTTTTGACATATTGTTCATCAAAATCGGTCCAGCGAGAGCTGAGATTGAGCGTTCACAGACACAAAAAAATAAATAAATAAATAAATAAAAAAAATACATCATAGTAAAATTAATACTTTCTCAGCTTCCCATCAAAGCTAAAAGAATCTCTTGATATAAACAATTTTAAAAATATTATATTCTTTTACAGTTTTACCTAGTTATTAGCTTCGATGCGAAGCTGAGAAGGTATTACTATGTGTTTTTTTTTTTGTTTGTTACCACTTTTTCTCAGCTCTAACAGAACCGATTTCTTTAAACGATACGTCAAAAGAACATAAATCGTATCTTGTCGAAGACAATACCCTCAAAAATTGAAAAAATTTCCCTCGTTCCCCGTAAATAGAGGAAATTTCCAAAAAAATTACAAATTTAAAAATTGCTAATTCTTGAAAATTTTTCAATTTTTTTTACTTAAAACTGTCATTACTTTTTTAAAAATGACTGAGTCAATATAATTTATTTTCAGCAGGTATTTACCAATCATTTTGTATATTTTTTGAACTTAACTTTTAAAATTGTTCTACAAATACTGACACTTTTATATATGTATATCTTAAATTAAAGCTAATGTAATATACTTTATTATGGAAAAAAAAATTTCAAACTTTATTTAGTCTTCACGGTTAAAAGGCTACCGATTGCTATTTTTGTATAAAAATTCTTGATTTTATATTTTACATTTTTAACTTTATTATGCTATAACTTATTGAAAAGTGTATGGATCATTACAATTTTTTTATGAGAAATAATATTTATATCCCTCTTTCATTCGACATACTTTATCTTAATTAGGATATAAGTAAGATAATAGCAGATCATGTAGCTTTTGGAATAATCCATCAATTTTATAAAATTAAACACTTTCTAAAGATTTGCATTGAAGTGTTTTTTATGATAGTGATTATAATCACTGTCAGATATTATTATATTTGTCTCAATTATGCCACGTCCATACTTATCCACAACCTCACTGTACTACCGTTTTTTTTACTATTAATATAATATATACTATCTATATAATTTTTATAAAGATTATTATTTAATTAATTAAATATTATTAAGATGATATTTACATAAACTATTTATAAAATGATAAATGTTGAATGTAATTTTAATAGACATACTGGTATGCTTATGATAAACATAATGTTATATAAGTTTAAAACATATGTTTATATTCAAATTAATGGCGTTATCAATAATTGATTAAAATATGCTAATTTATAGTTTGATAATCTGTAAATAAATAATTAAATTAGGGTTGTTTGTGAAACCAATTATTTTTTTTTGAAATAAATTATGAAACATTTTATTTTTATGTCTATGTTTAAATTGCTCATATATCTTTGCCAACATTTAAACGAATAACATTAGACAAAGATGTAGTAAACTAATGAATACATTAAACAAATTTTCTTCCTATCATATGCTCAACAGGCTCAACATGGTATTTTATACTAGTAAAACTGATAGACTCGTAAAATTGGAGGCCATTTGACAATTATTATAAACATACTTTAAAAATATTTTTCAAAATAATTTTTTTTTTTTATATATATATAGAACTAAATAAATAATTCTCCAAAAGAATAGTTTTATTCCTTAAAATAAATGTATAAAAATATTGTTAATTTATTTTTTTTAGTAAGAAATTTTGATCTTGGTGTTCTGCAAGCTTAAACAATCCAAAGTGTTAATACATAATAGTATTAAAATAAAAATATTAAAAAATTAAAGCAATATCTTAACTTAAAAAAATTATTAATATTAAGTGAATCTTATCAATTACTAATTTGTTTAGTTAAAAATCAGATTAACAAAATATATTAAATTTTATATATGAAAATTTTAACTATAATTGAAATTTTATAATTAGAAAAACATTTAATTGATCAAATTTTAATTAATCAAATCCAACTTAATACGAGATTTCTTTTCATCACTTGAATCACTAGTATCAAACCCTGAATCCTCAAAATAATTTTTGACATTATGTGAGGATTGAGCAAGACGAGTCATAACACAGTCTATAAGTTTACCAAAAAAATCTGGGAAACCATCATAACCTACAAAAACAATTTTTATTATTAAAGTGTAGTAAAATTTTAATACAAATAAAAATATTAAATCTTAATTTTACCCGGATATGCATTAATATCAATGATAGCATGACGATTTGTATTGTTTTCTACTACAATATCAAAACCATAGAGAGACATATTAAGATAGTTGCCCAAAGTTTTTACAATACGATATAATTTATTTGAATCCAAACTACATGGTTTGGCACTTTCTGAAGGATCTAATACACTGAGTTCACTACTTGAGTCTGATTTTGACACAGAATGGCTGTCAAAAGTAATTGTCTTTTGATTCTCTAAAAAAAAATATTTTCAATTGTTTAGTACATAAAAATTTGAAATACTATATATTTTAAAATTTTTTACTTTCATAATTTTAACAAAAATGACCAGATATATTCAAGTACTCTTTTACCTGAATGATTATATAAAATTGTAATCTAATAGTTTCTTTTTTAATTACATTGTAGTATATAGAAAAAGAAATAACATAGTGTGTTATAATATAGTATAATATAATACATATATAACATTATACAATACGCTATAATTTTTTTTATTTTCAATAATTAGGTTAAATACACCAACCAATTTTTATGATTAAACTGATGTATCCTGTGGAATTACTAAGTACAATGGTTTCCCGCTTACGTTCTGTACTAGGGAACATAGTGAAATTAACGTGTGGTAAAGACCCGTACAACAACTAAAAGCAGCAGGCAAAACTTAACTTCAAAGTGTGGAGCTATTTCAAGTGTTCACTTCACCACCACACTACTTCAAAATAATGTAATGTACAATGTATTAAATCATAAATAAATAATACACTTCAATTCAACACATACTTTGTCTAACAATAACCTTTTTATAAAAGAAAAAATTTCTTTAGTCTTAAATTTAATTTTTTTAGATTTATCTAATCTGTATTTAATGATTTTTTAAGTGTATAATTTTTACCATTTATTGTGTAAAAATTTTTTAAAGATGGTCGTTCTACCATTTGATAATGATCTCCAACAACAAACACTTTATATAGAATAGCATTATGGTTGATGAAAGATTGAGCAACACATGGAGGCTTACAATCAACAACACCTCTTTCATTAAAAATCACTGACATCTAAAGATAAAATTAAAATAAAACCAAATTAAATAAGAGCACCTAATAGTTTACTTTATTGATAAGCTTATTCAGGAAATAATCTATTTCACAAGTTAAAATCAGTTTGTTTTTTTGTTTATAACTAGTTTAAGTCACACTCATTTCATAGACTGAATATTCAATAAAGACCAATGCTGTATAAATGATTATACACATCATGGACATATGAAAATTATAATAATAATTATTTTCTATTTTAAATGTTAATTTTAGGTGTCAATTTCCAAAAATTAGACAAATATAAAAAAATACTTTTAACTTAATTAGTTTTTGAACTAAAAAAATATTTATATGAGCATACTTCATACTCTTTTACTGTTAAAAATAATATTTTTACTTAATTTTGTTTATTATGTGAAATAGGATGTTTCATGAACAGTGTAATATTTACATTCTAAAAAACATTACCTTATGACAATAGTCAGTACCTTGAGCTATGTATGGTTTACAAACTAAAAATATATATATTGACTATTATTTAAGGAACATGTATATTAGTTTTAAAGATTTTTTTTATTATGCTTACTAAATGGAAAAGTTACTCCAGCATTTTTCAGTTTTTTTACATTTTCTTCAACATTGTTAGATAATATTTCAACAAATGTTGGTGTAAATACATCTAATGAAAATATAAAAATTGAAAAATACTAATATAAGTTAATGATAAATTATATAACATTATTGAAGTCGAAATATTTAAACAGTTTAAGTAATTTTAGTGTATAACACGAAATTAAAAATATTGTACATGTATCAACATGTAAATAAAATAAAGGTAATACAACTTGTAGTTTTTTATCACAACAAATATGTTTTTTTTCTTTAAAATTAGTTTAATATGTAAAATATATTTTTGGTTTGATTGTTTATTAAAATATATTTAGTGTAAAAAATAAAAATAATAGCTTGTTTAAAGTAAAATAGAGACAGTAAAAAGGGAGAGTAGTGTGGCGATAAACTTATCCTGGTGTTTAAATTTAATTTAAATTGAAATTAGTTGTCTGCCTTGAAAAAAAAAAATTTCATTTCATTAAGTGGTTATCTCAAAAATTAGAATCAATCTGAAAATTCTATTATTAAATTCAGAATTCTATTTAAAATTTACTATCATATTATTTGGAGCAGATTTTTTTTTATTTTTAAGTGCAGTATAATTTGTCAAAGAGGTTTTATTTTCACCATCAGTATTATAAAATAATTATAGTGTTAAAGACAAATTGGATTCAAGTGAATTAAAAAAAAACAATTAATAATTAACTAAATCCTTCTTAGTAAAATGCATACAAATTATGTCAACTAATCTGAAATACAACTTAAAATACCTAGATATAATAATAATTGTATATTGGTGTACCAATATTATGCAAGCTGGTGTTCAACACAACACTGTATGTCTTGAAACGATCAAGTAATGTACGTACACTATCCAATGGATCAATAATCAGGACTTTAGGATTATTTTTTATATATTGTTCAATTCTGCCAATGATTTGATAAGCCTATAAAATATACCTCAATTATCAAACAAATAAAATAACCACAAAATATAATTTTATATAACCTGATTATCTTTTCTAGCAATTATTTCTGTCAGTTTATGTACTATTGCATCAAATGGTCCTTGATTTTCAAGAGGTTTATTCAGATCTAACTAAAATATAGCAAATTATTAAAATTAAAATATCACATTTACAAAAATGAAAGTACATCATTTAAATAATTTCTTAAAATAAAAAAAAATAATATATTATTAATTTTAATAAATATAGAGAGTGATTCATTTATCATAAACTACTCGATTATTCTCAAAATAAATACAATATTGAAAATTATTTTTTGTATTTTTAGTTACATATATTTATTGATCTATAGAGCATTTATTACTTTTTAAAATTATCCCTTATATCGTATAGGGGTGTCATTTTTATTATTTTTAATGGTATGCATATTTATGTAACTTATACAATAGAAAAAATTTTAATTAAAAAAATAACTAGTCGATAACTTTTAGAACAGTACTTTGATGTTATTCTAATTTTTATATCAAGATGAGGCCAAAAATACCTCTAGGAATTGACTAGTGATTAAAATAGCAGAACCGTCTCCTCACTTCCAATAATTATTTTTATTTGTTGATAAATTCTGAAATATTGGTCCAAAAGTTGCTATCGACCAGTAATTTTTTAATTTAGATTATTTTCAATTTTATAAGCTGGTTAAATATGTCTGTGGTCATTTAAAAAAACAAAGTTGGCATCCCTTTAAGATATAAGGGATGATTCTAAAAAGTAATTGATCAAGAATTATGTGTAACTAAAAGTAATCAAAAATTACTTTTCCAATATTGTATTTTTTTTTTACGAGTAATCGTATGGTTTATGATAAACCTATCACTCTTTTTTTTATTTAAATAATAAAGAGGTTTGAAAATAATGTTTTCTATTACACTATTAAAGAGATTAATACTTATTCATCAATTAAGAATGGATATACACTTGGCTTTAACATATAACAGTCATTTAAAAGCCCAGATTCAATTTTTTTATAAACATATAAAAATAATATATAGCATGGTATAAATATTACATTTTTTAAATAGATGTGTATGAAACTTACTTTCACTAGTTCATATCCATGATTTCTGCAATAAAAAAAACATGTCGGTCACAATTAGATAATTAATACCATAAAAACACAAGATTATCAAAAATTCTTTGAATTAATTAGAAAAATGATGTGATGAAAATAATCAAATTGTCAAAAAACCAATTAATTCTACTAATACATCAATACCTTTAAGAAATTAAAATTATAATGCTATTTATTATTTAATAAAATTTAACATAATCATCAATTTGGATAAGATAATGAAGAAAATTATATATTTTTTCCATTATCTTTAACCTATTATTAAAGATAAATAAAAATAAAAATTTAAGATTACATATTACTCTAGCACATATTATGCAAATTTTTTTTTTTAATTTTTGGTAATTTTATAAAAAAAAATTCAATTTTAAATGGGCTTTTCTTCTTTTAAAATGTTAAATGATATTTTATTTACTAAGACATAAAATGTTGATATAGTATATTTATATCAAACATTACTTGATAATTACAGAATTTGGAATATTCACATAAAAAATAATGTATTTGTATTAATATGCATTTAAAGTTTAAATTTTAGAAAAATTACTTGCAAACTTTTCCAAACTCAGTCCAATTAAGTTTTTGGCTTTTTCGATCTGACATCCAGTAACCAATAACTTTTGATGGTAATACCTTATTTTCAGTCATCTTTTAGAAGAAGTAGTTTTGTTATGTTAGCTTATGTTTTATTATAATTAAGTGATGTAAGAATGTAAGAATGTAAGTATTTAAGAGTATTTGTCACCTCTTGTGCTTATATTAAAGGTTGTCCATATTCATAAGTAATAAATACGATCATACGATTACTTTCCATTTTGAGTGGTTGAAATTTCGATCAGGAAAATTGTTTTACTCTATACAATACATACAATTATTATACAAATTAAATATTAAAACGAAGTAACTAAATTGGTATTTCGAAGGACATTTACCGCCCATTATCGCGTTACCTGATAGCATTAACACGCAAATCACACCGTTAGTTTCATCTGTCACTAGCTTGTCTATCACACAAAAATATCTAAAATAACCAAGTTGTTATCAAAATTACTATGCAATAAATAATAGTTATATATAAAACGTAATCATAGACGTTAATTATTTTAGAATTGTTGAAATTTTACTTTACTTAGTGTATTATTATTTTAAAATATTATCTGCGATATCGATGTAATCATGGTCATCAAGTTAATACGTTTGTGAATACAACGATTTTAACTATGTAGTTGCTTATTATCGTGCAGTTAGCTTATTTTTATATTACTGCCATTAAATTATACTCTTTTTACGAATATCTATTGAGGATTTAACATTTCGGTATTAGTATCGCTAATTTTTGAGAAATAGCGAATATTTCTACATTTCAACTGTAATTAAAACACTTCTATAAACTATCTAAGATACTAAAGTGCATTACAGTAGCAAACCCAGGATTTTGGTTTGGAAAGGAGGTATACATAAGAAATTGTTTTACTACTCCTCCAAAACACATCTTTATAATATATAGAGTGTTCAGTAAGTAAGGAAACGGGTTTCTATTGTTTTCATTGTTTGTAACAATTGACCTGTTTCTTAACTTAATGAACATTGTATTTTCATCATGAGGAGGTTCTATCTACAGATTCATTTCCAAACACCTAAACTGTATTAAAATCCTGAATTCGCTATGGACTTTACAAAATTGTATTTAAGTAAATAACTGACGTGCTTATTAATAATGCAATACGGGCTTAACAATTTTTTTTATTATTTTATAATAACAATGATGTTTGAAGATCATTTTTTTTCTGCTCAATATTAATCCAAGAGTACAATTTTTGGTAAAGAATTCAGTCATTACATGAATTTTGGGAAGGAGGCTGCATCTCTAGCATATCTTACTTATAGCCATTGTAGTGACATATTATTATAACTCATAAAATTTAATAAATTCGTTAAAAAAATAACATTTATATTTTTAAAATTCTCTTTTAGAAAATAATTAGAACATTTTGAAAGCTAAATTAAAAAAAAATAAAATCCAAAATAACCTCAAATTCTTTCCGAGTAATCAAAGTCAACATTTTTTAATTTGGAAATTTTATTTAATATTTAATAAATATTAAAAATTCAAGTTTTTATTATAATACAAAAGTCTAACAAAGTTTTAACATGTCAGGATATATTTATCATAATATGATATCACATTAATATAATATTAATATATTAATGTGACTTATAATGTTACAATAGTTAATTTAAAATGTTTCAACGGGATAGTGGGCTAATACCAAAATATTATTTCGGTAACAATTTTTACATATTTACTTATAATGTATTTTTACAAATTTCGAATTTTATTTTTGTTGAAATCATTTCTTCCACAATTACATTGTAAAGGTCTTACCTTAAGTGAAGAAGAAGGACGGTCAAAAATAGAATTTCGCATTTTGATATATTTTCTGCTTGTCACTCCAATATTAATATACATAAAATATATATGCGAATTTATGCATAATAAATTATAATGAGTAACAATACTCTATTGTAAAAACCTGGCTGAACAATATGTATAATATACAGATGAAAATAATATATCATATTATTTTCATTCTCCAAATAACATACAAGGTTAATTCATTATCGTAACTCATTCTATTACATAAAAATAAATTATGCCAAGATTTTTTTTTTTTTACTAACATACATTTTTTTGATTTATCAATTATTATACATTTATGTCTTATAAAGATATGAACTTTACTCTTTTATTTGTAACATACATATATTATTAAATATACGTGTTACTTACGTAATTTTTTTTTTTATATTCCTTTGTAAATTTTTAAAATTTACTATGTATTATTTTTCTGAAATTTTGGAAAAGCTAAGCTCCCCTATATGCGCCAATAATTATCTAGCTCAATACCTAATTTATAAAAAAAATTTAATGAATGTTATCACGAATGCATCTATTTTTAATATGCATGAATACGAATACATTCATTTTTTATATTAATGTACCAAACCTTGTTTGTATTTTATCAGTAATGTAAAGTCTAAACTAAAAATATCAATAACAACTATTTAATTATAGTTATAATTTTTTGGATATTTCCTTTTACAATTTTATCTGTTAAAAAGCTATTTCTGTAAGTGATGCTTTTGTAATTAGCGACACTAACTATTTAATATTGCAGACGACAACATCTGTCGATTTCAATTGTTTTCATTTAGTAATGACATAATTTTATAATATGTTTTCAATAATTAAATTTAATGCTGTAAACAATATTAATTTACTGAATATGCAAAAAAAATGCATCGTGTATAGAAAATAATTAAAAGTTAAATATTAAAAATTCAAGTATTAATATTTCTAGTGTTGTTGATTATCTTAAAGGTTTGTAAGACAACGTTTGAAAGAGCGTTATTAAAAAAGCCAAATTACTTTTTTAGACTGTCAAAATATATATTTGATTCACTGTATCTAAGAAAAAAATATTGAAGAATTATATTAAAAATAAAAAAAGACAAAATAGTCTTGTCCAACAATATAATAATATAAATATTTTTTTACTAAATATATTTAGTTATCTAAATTGAAATGATTACAACTGGTAGGTATCATATTTATTATATTTAAAGAAATTTACGACAGGAATATTGAGCTATTTTTTACTATTATTTGTAGCTACTCTATAATAATGTTATCACATATTTGCAAGAAATCACTTACTAAATTTTTTACAGCATTATTTGAAATGGAAGAATTATTGAGTGTATAACATTTGCCCTTTTACCATTTAATGGAATATGGTATTAAGGATAAAACAATAAAAAAAATAAATCCAGCACATGTGGGTCACGGCACAGTGGTGACGTGATCAAGTATTATGATATCTGACAGTGATTAAAAAATCACTATCAAAAAAAACGCTTTGATGCAAATCTTTAGATAGTGTTTAATTTTAAAAAATTGGTGGATTATTCCAAAAGCAACATGATCTGCTATTTCGTTGTTAATATCCTGATTCAGATAAAGTATGTCGAATGAAAAAGGGATTATTAAAAAATATTATTTCTCATAAAAAAATGATGTTGATCCATAAACTTTTCAATAAGTTATAGCATTATAATNTGATGTTGATCCATAAACTTTTCAATAAGTTATAGCATTATAATGTTAAAAATAAAATCGAGAATTTACACACAAAAATAGCATTTAATAGCCATTTTCACCGTGAAGACAAAATAAAGTCCGCTTTTTTTTTCATAATAAAGTACATTACATAATCTTTAATTTAAGATATATATAAAAGTGTCAGACTTTCTGGAACACTTTCAAAAGTTAGGTTGAAAAAGTTAATTTTTTGTGAATAAGTTGTCATTTTAAACCCCCTCTGTGGGCAGGCCTAGGGTCAGATTTATAAAAAAAAAAACGGTAGCACAGTGGGGTCGAGGCACAGTATAGACGTGGCATAGATGAGATAAGTATAGATGATATCTGACAGTGATTAAAATCACTATCATAAGAAACGCTTCGATGCAAATCTGTAGATAGTGTTTCCTTTAGAGAAATTGGTGAAATATTTTAAAAGCAACATGAACTCTTATTTCTTTAATTATATCCTGATTAGTAGTTCTTTGATTTTAAAATATAATATATGAATAAATACTAATTATAGTTTTTAAATTTAGTATGAAATTGTGAGGCCAGCTATGATGTATGGTTCATAGTGTTGGGCGGTTGATAAGAAAGTAGAGCAGAGAATAAGTGTAGCAGAGATGAGAATGCTTAGTTGGATGAGTGGAGTGACTAGAGAAGATAGGATAAGGAACGAGCATATAAGAGGAAGTATAGGTGTTGCGTCAATCGTGGATAAGATGACAGAAAATAGACTTAGATTGTTTAGTCATGGTATGAGGAAAGAAGAATCGAAAGCTGTAAGAACAGTTATAGAAATGAATGTTGAAGGAAGAAGAGATAGAGGAAGACCAAAAAAGAGATGGAGGGATGCTATTGAATGCGATTTGAGGACAGCTGATTTGAGCGTAGAAGATGTGGGAGATCGTGTCAAGTGGAAGCTTAGGATAAGAATGGCCGACCCCAAGTAGTTGGGATTAAGGCAAAGAAAAAGAAAAATAATTCCGGTGGCATTTGACATAATATGATTGTAGTTTCGGAATGTACAATTTAGCGTTTAGTTGGTTTTTAATATTATAGCGTCAAATCAATTACCTACTCTATCGCTTGTATATTAATATACACTACACTTTAATGATACAATAAATAAATAAACTGACACATACACTGTATGTCATACACACATATGCATTTATAACATTGTGTCTAACGTAAGTGTAACATGATAAAAAGTAACCGTAAAATGAAAAAAATGGAATATAAATTTTAGTACTCATATTAAATGTAATGTAACTCGAAAAATATTTGTTTAAATGAAAAAATATAAGATAATTTTTTTGTTTATAATTGTCTTTTAAACAACTTTTGTACGAAACTTTTTTTTGTAAGTTAAATATTTTTTGAGAAAATTAAAAAAGCTCATATTTTTGAACTTTTGCGAGGCTGTAAAAAAAAAGCTCAATTCCAATCTTGAGGACTATTAGTATGTCATTATACATATTTTAATTCAACTTTTAAAAACAAACAGTTTTTATTGAAAATTATTGTATCAAGCCCTTTAAATTTTTATACACGTAAAAGTAAAGCAAAATATAACTTCTTTATTATTTTTATAATTTCTCCGTTTAAATTACAATATTAAATATCAATTTCATACTAAATTTAATAATTATAATTAGTATATATTCATATATTATATTTTAAAATCAAAGAACTACTAATCATGATATAATTAAAGAAATAAGAGTTGATGTTGCTTTTGGAATAATCCACCAATTGCCTAATTAAAACAAAAAAAAAAAAAGTTTGTTGGGAATTTTTTCTGCTATTCTGCAAAATTACTCCTTCGTTGACTAGAATGAATCATTAAATAGAAAATTTTATGAGAATTAAAACAATGTTATTTTTAAGATTAATATGCAGTCAGAAAGTTTTATAATTATTATTTATTGTAAATTTATCAGAAAAACTCATTATTTTTTGCATTTTTATCGTAATAGAACACTTAAATAGAAATCATAGTAATCATTTCTAAGTAATTTTTGATATTTAAAAAGATTCTACTATTGAAATATCCAGAACTGAATTAATTTTAATGATTTACTTTAACTAAAAAAAAAAAAGTTAATATTTTGAATCCCTCTTGTGGGCAGGTAAAGGGTTAGATTTATAAAAAAAACCAAATGATAGATAAAGACATGCATCTAAATAAAAAAAAATATACTGATTTGGTCATTTTTGATAAAGTTATAACAATTAACAAAGTTATAAGTTTTATACACTGGACTACAAGGAACTTCCATCAGAAACAAAAATATACTATTCTAAATCAACTTTTCGCGATGTTTTAAAATGTGCAATTAGACTTTTTCTATAACTTCTAAGTTTTAATATTATTAAAAAATAGTTTTTACATATAAAAAAAAATAATTAAGAACAAAAAAAATTGTTTTAAATTAATACTGATTTGATATAATATTTAATATTAATTTGATTATTAATAAGTTAAAAATAAGGAAAATGACATATTTAACCTATTTTGTTAATCGTTTAAAGTTGATTGTTGTAAATGTTTATAATAAAAAAAAAAAATTTATTTTACCATAACTTTTAGCTCAATTGGTAAGTTTGACATTGACATAATTAAATAGAAAATTTTATGACAATTAAAAAAATTGTATCGTTAAGATCAATATGCAGTCAGAAAGTTTTATAATTACTATTTATTGTAAATTTATCAGAAAAGCTCAATATTTTTTTGCATTTTTATGGTAATAGATAACTTAAATAGAAGTAATAGTAATAATTTCCTAGGAACTTTTGTTGTTTGTTGAAAAGATTCTATAATTGAAATATTGAGAACTTAATTAATTTTAATGATTTACTTTAACTAAATGTACCAATCAAAACAAAGTTGTTAAAAAGATTTACTCAATTGAGTGTATTATAAAATTTGATTATATTTGTAAAAATCAATTGTTAATTCAGGAGAAAAAACAATCATTTTTTTTAGAAATGATTTATATAGCAACATGTTACAAAAAAAAATTGTAATATTATAGTCTAGTAGTAGCACACACAAATAGAGTAAAAAAATTATTAAATTACAAAGTAAAATGATTTAATTTTGTAGTTGAAACCTATCATATCAAACTTCATTCGTTAATAAATATTTTGAAAACATTAGAAATTAATGATTTTAATTGTCTTTATGGAGACGATGTAATAACTAACTGTTTAATTGATAAATTAGAATTTTTTTTTCAATTTTTGAGAGTAATATCTTCAACTAGATACGAATTGTAGTAATTTGACGTATTGTTGAAAAAAGTAGGTCAAGTTAGAGCAGAGAAAATAAATGATAGTCACAAAAAAATATCTTCTCGGCTTTGCATCGAAGCGAAAACTTAAAATATAGTAAAATAATTTTAATACGAATAAGAAATTTCTTCTTGCAAGGGGCGACTAAAGTGATGGGATCCTTGATCTTTATTGAAGTTATTGAATCTAAATGTGATAAAAATCAAACGAGTTAAAATTTATACTAACTTAAAAAGAATTAAGAAAAAATGCAAAAAATTCATTGCCATATGCGGGTTGGAACCTCGTACCCCAAGCGTGTAAAACATAAATTTTACCAACTCGGCAACCGTACGTTGCTTCCGGCGGTTGAAAAATTGGCTATTTAAGCTAGTTCAAATTTCAAAGTTATTTTTCTCGACTTAAAAGAAACAAACATATTTAAATAAGTTTAACTATCTATACTATATCAATTTTAATTTATATAATATTTATGAAAATCTGTACTCCCCTTGTCAGGTATTTTAAAATAAAATAAAATACAAAACCCAGAATTTTAACACAAAAATAGCATATTTTTGCATACGGTAGTCATTTTTACCATGAAGACAAATCCAGAGGTCAAATTTTTTTTTTTCACATTAAAGTATATTACATAAGCTTTAATTTAAGATATATTTAAAAGTGTCAGTATTTCCGGAATACTTTCAAAAATTAAATTGAAAATATCGTAGTAACAATACGCATGTTTAAAGTTTTGACCCCCCTTGTTAAAGGGGTATGATCCGATTTACAAAAAAAGCGTGCCAGATGAAAGGGGTATATCAATATTTATTATAAAAAAATAATAATATAGATCCATACATTTTTCCAAAAGTTATATAAAATATAAATTAAATAATATAACATATAAAATCGAGATTTTTTTCACGGAAATCGTACGTTTTTCTTTAACTTTGATGTCCGTTTTCACCACGAAGACAAGTCCAGAGGTCAAATTTTTTTTTTTCAAATTAAAGTATATTACATAAGCTTTAATTTAAGATATATATAAAAGTGTCAGTCTTTCCGGAACATTTTCAAAAGTTAAGTTGAAAAAGTTCTACTTTCTATACGCATTTTAAAAGGTTTGCACCCCCCCTGTATAAAGGGAAATGGTCCGATTTTAAAAAAAAGTATGTCGAATGAAAGAAGTATATATAAAGTATTTATCATTAAAGAATAAAGTTGATTCATGCATTTTTTAAAAAGTTATAGCAACATAATGTTAAAAAATGTAAAATATAATATCAAGAATTTTTTCACAAAAATAGCATATTTTTGCATACGGTAGTCATTTTCACCATGAAGACAAGTCCAGAGGTCAAATTTTTTTTTTTCAAATTAAAGTATATTACATTAGCTTTAATTTAAGGTATATATAAAATTGTCAGTCTTTCCGGAACATTTTCAAAAGTTAAGTTGAAAAAGTTAATTTTTTGTAAAAAAGTTACCATTTTGAAACCCCATCCTTTGGGCTGTTAAAGGGTCAAATGTTCACAAAAATATATAAAATGATAGGTAATTATCTAAGGTATCTATAAAAAAAAAAATTATATTGATTCGGTCATTTTTAAAAAAGTTATGGCAATTTTAAGTAAAAAAAATTGAAAAAATATCGAAAATTAGCGATTTTTAAATTTGTAATTTTTTGGGGGATTTCCCCCGTTTACGGGGAACGAGGGAATTTTTTTCAATTTTTGAGGGTAATGTCTTCGACTAGATACGATTTGTGATCTTTTGACATATTGTTCATCAAAATCGGTCCAGCGAGAGCTGAGATTGAGCGTTCACAGACACAAAAAAATAAATAAAAAAAAAAACACATCATAGTAAAATTAATACCTTCTCAGCTTCGCATCGAAGCTAAAAAAAATAAAAGGTAATGATATCATGCATCTGTATAAAAAAAAATTATATTGATTTGGTTATTTTTAAAAAAGTTATAGCACTTTTAAGTAAAAAAAATTGAAAAAATTTCGAAAATTAGCGATTTTTAAATGTGTAATTTTTTTGGAGGTTTCCCCCATTTACGGGGAACAAGGGAATTTTTTTCAATTTTTGAGGGTTATGTTTTCGACAAGATACAATTTGTGATCTTTTGACATATTGTTCATCAAAATCGGTCCAGCGAGAGCTGAGATTGAGCGTTCACAGACACACAAAAATAAAATAAAAAAACACATCATAGTAAAATTAATACCTTCTCAGCTTCGCATCGAAGCTAAAAGAGAAAGAACAATTTTTTTATAGGGAAATATTCTTGTCATTACTTGATACTTATTAGTTTCTGTTTTTTTATAAGCAAAATCCTATATTTTTTTATATGATCAAACTATGCCAAAATATATGGACCAAATATACGATATCAAATATTTTTGTACAAATGCTATTTGAAATAAATCAGTTATAATCTTATCATTCAGAATTATAACTATTAACTATTTTTTAGTTAATATTAAAACAGAGAAGTACAAGGCGATAATTGGTATCAAATTTTCAGTTTCGAATGTAGAATAGATTTCAAATCAACAATTTCANTTTAGAATAGATTTCAAATCAACAAATTCAATTTTTATATTGTTCAGTATTTGAGTTTTGCACTCAACACATTAATAGACATAAAATACTCTTCGATATCCCTTGAGGATATAATTTATAATGTATAATTTCATACAATTTTTATAAAACAAATGATTTACAATAACTAACTAGTATTTCAAAGTGTATAACAGCTGATTGTCAACGTGTTCAATTAAGAAAATTGTTATCAATAAAATAAGGCTGTTATCAACAAAGACTAGTGATAATTTCTCTGTACAAAATGCATTTTAATTTGCCAAGCAACACGTCGTACGTAATGATTATCGTCATAGAAAATGATTAAAAATAAGTAAATAGAAAATGTGATATTTTGCAAATTCATTTAAAGAAAACTTTAATATCTACTTTTTTATTTAAATTTTTCAAACTAATGAATAAGTTTGTATACTTGAGTTAAATGACTAAAGTGCCTCACCTTTCACTATGTTTATGTTTAAAATCGTTTTTATATTAGTTATATCGGTATACGTTATTTTTGCTACAAATACGTGTGATCCTAGTAAAGTGACTGAATATCAATGTCGAGACTCATTATGTAAAACTACATCTGAAAGTAAGTATTATGATTTTGATTTTGATCTTTTAGGTTGTTCAAAATTTATTGAATAAGCAAATAACTAATAATTGGATTCTATCTTAAAAATTAAAATAAAACTCTTGAAATCAGTGTTGATTGTAATATATAATTCAATATTTAAATTATTTTCAGATGGACAGTATTTATCTTTGAACAATAGGAAGTCTGTTCCAGTCATAGGCTATAGTAAAGATAAATTTATGGTTAAAAAAAACTCTGTAAGTATTAAAAATATTACCATTAAAACTTGTATTTAATGAAACAATTAAATAATAAGAAGTAATATAGTTAAAATAATTGCTATATTTAATGTCATTAATTAAGAAAACCCCCATTTATTTTTGTTAAATAGTGAATTTTTTCATAAAAATGTACTAAAAAATATTTTATTCATTTTTGTTTAATTTTTTTTTTTAATAATAAATGTTGTATACAGTAAAATGCAATTTAAAAATATGAACACAAACCGTAGTGTTCAATAATTTTTTTTTTTATATAAAATAATGTATCTAGATTATTAATTTTTATGTATCATTAAAAATTCACCATGTAATTAAAATTTATTTCATATTAAAAAGAAATAAAAAATAGTTATTTTAAGTGATTGATAAAAATAAATTTTATTAGAAAACCATATGAGCAATGAATTTTTCTATGATTGTAATCAAAAGTTAACTTCTAAAACTTCACTAAATTAAAGCGTGATTTATATAAATTTTGGTACACTTAAAATCACAGGCATTCCTTAAAAATTTTTTGGAAGTGTCTTTGTTGACTCAACATATAGAATGGTTGGGTTAATACCAAGTATAATACTTTTACTGATTGTGAATATTACAAATACATTTTTATTGTATTATTGTTTTGTTTTAGGGTTTTGATATTATCAATAAAAACAAACTTAAAGTAATAAACTTTTCTAGTAAAGGTTGGGATTACTTGGTCAAAATAAACGAGGAAACCCATACAGTATGTAGTGCAGTTTTTATAAACAATGAAAATACTTCAAAACTTTATTCAAATGATAATTCAAATCTAATAGAAAATGATGATAATGTTAACATAACTGAAGAAATTTCTATAAATAGTTCAAAAAATGAAATTTTCGGAAATGAACCAAATAGCAATTATAGTGAATTAACTCCGGTAGAACATTTTAATGATTCAATTATTGTAAATGAAACTAAAAATAATGATGAAGTTATTAATTTTGTTGATAAGTCTTCAGGAATAAAAAATAATAACGAATATAATATTATTAAAAATCAAAATATTGTTAAAAATACATCTAATAACATAGCTAATGAAGGCAAGTCTGATGATGCACCATCATTCACTCCTATGGAAAATCAAAAAAGTATTCCTGAAAATAGTGATGATGTTCTTGAACAGGGTAATGATATTGATAATGAATCAGAGATTAATTTAACTGTAGATTACGAAAATTTATCTTCAAATGATGATATAAAAGATTCTTCTAATGAAAATAAAATTCAAAGATTAAAAGAAACTGTAAATTCTGAGTTAAATGAAATTGGTGATAAAATTGAATTACAAAAATCACTTGAACCAACAAATGACAATGACAAATGTTTATTAGATAATTGTATAAATAAATTGGAGACTGAAATTGAAAAGAAAGTTGATTTAAATGCAGAAGAAATAGATTCAGCTAAGTCTGACATACAAGACGAAAATAATACTTTTACACCAAATGTTATTACTATTGCTGAAACAGTAAATAGTGAGATTCCAGAAGAGATAGAAAAAGTTGAACAATTTGATATATCACAGATCAATAATATAAATGACCAGATAGAAAATATGCCAGCAGAAGAATCAAATAATGAAACTGTCATTAACGGTGATTTGAGTATAGATGACAATAATGTCTCTAGTCATGTTGATAAACTACCATTAAATGATAAAGAAATAAAAAACTCTAATGAAATACCCGTAATACAAAAAATTGAGACCATTAATAAAAATATACCTACAGAATTAAATAATTCTTCTAATTCTAATAGTGTTGTTACAACAATTAATTATATTGATGATGACAATAAAACTAATAATCGATTTATAACAGAAAATTCAAATAATTTTTCAAGTAATGATGAAATTAATCAACCAAAAAGTACAGATATTACTGAAAATTTATCAAATGTGGATTCCAATATAAACATTAAAGTAAAAGATGAAATTTCACAAAATAATCTAACTATGGATAAAACAGGTATTCAGGAAAGTATGTTAGGTGAAGTTACTAAGGCTTCAATACCTAATAATATTCAATGTAAACCTGGTACAGATTGTTCCGATCCAACTGCAAGTATACATACGCATACATACCCAGACAATTCAGCTAATACTGTTTTAATAAATAATATACAGAAAGGAAGCTTTGTCTCTTCTTTTGGACATCCTGAAAGCTGCACTGGAACAGCATGTCTCCATTTAATAAATAATAATGAACAATCTAGCAAAACAAACATTAATGAACCTATTGAATCAACTACAAACCAAAATTTTATTATAGAAAATTTGGAGAAAAATACTGAGTCTCTTAAAAAAGAAATAGAAAATTTAGAATATAAACAAATTATTCATACAAATGATGAGTGGTATTTTATGGATTATGTTGAACAATGGCTAACATCCCCTACAATGAACACAGTAAATTTTGTCATGAGATTTTTTAGTAACTCGAACACTTATAATGGTTAGTATTTTAGTTAATAGTTTTATTATTTTTATCTGAAATTATTAGGATAACATTATACTTACATTATTATATCAACCTAAAATATAGTAATTAGTTTAACTGTATGTCAGTTTTATTTTTATTCTTAAATGAACTATAATATATTTCCTCTTTTTAAAATACAAGTAATTTTTATCTTTATGTAATCATAGCTAATGGCCATTGTTTTTTTTAAATTAAATAGATTTTAATTGTATATTATTTTGAAAAATAACTGTACAATATAGTTGCATCATTATATTGTACTTGGGTGAGTTGAAAAATAATATACACCCTAACATATAGCTTTAAAACTAATGTAAATAAATAAATAAAGTAAAAACACATGTGTAGAAATTTATATAACCTTTAGTTACATATTGTTATTTTGTTAATACTAATTATACTAATTAGTTATACTGTAAATACATTTAATTTCAAGGAACCATTTTCTTTTTTTAGACCAACAAATAGATGTTTTTTCAACAGAAGATTTTGGCAATGATGTAAGTTTAAACAAATAAATATATATATATAGGGTGATTATTTAACTACGACTCAAGCAATATCTATTAATAAAAGTATAAGACAAATTATAATTTTTTTTTCTTTCAAAAGTTAATAATATTCTATGTTTTATTATTTTCAAACATAAAATTGTTCCTATCCCTCTATCTCCCTTTTAAATAACATTAACTTAAGTTTTTTAAATGGGAACACATGTTTAATTAGCTTAAAATTAAGTAAATGGCTGGTCTATAACAACTATTGAACGAGTATTTAAAAAAATATCACACTTTTATACTAGGTCAGAAAGAGTAGAGCAGTTCAAAAATTCCTAGAGATAAAAATATGCATACCTCCCATTTAAGTATATTAGTGCTAATATATTTTAAAATACTCGCTTAATAGTTGTTATGTATTTATTATGTCTAAGTTATTAGTTATCATTAGTAAGCAAGAACTCACAAAATCACAGGTTACATTAGAATAATGTCAACTATTGCTGCTGATTAAAGGCAATAGCATTTGTAATTTACAAGTTGTGATACTAATTAAAGAGAAAAGCATTTTCTTTATCATAATAATTAACTTATTTTAGTAAAGTTATTTAAAACATTTAATGGTAATAAATAATTTTTTAAGGAAAATATAAGCCATCGTAAACAGATGAATGATAATTCAAAAATATATTTCATTGTCTCTGCAGTAATCACATTGTTGTTTTCTCTTGGTTATTGTAAATATCAAGTATGTAAAACTATTTTTCATTACTTTAATTATGGTTAACATTTTTTTTTTTATTGTAGAAAGGTTCTTATGAAAACTATTTGTTGACATTATTAGCTGTAAAAGAACAAAGTTTATTGATTGTTGAACAGGAATTGTGTACAATAAAAGAGCATAATGTGGAAAATACAACAATAGTAATTTAACAAATTTTATTAAAATAAATCTCGAATATATTAAATAATTTTCTTCTTTCAGGTATCCAAAGAAAATTCAGATTATGAATTATTCAAAAATAATTTAGCAGAATCAGAGGTTATTATCATCTAAAACTAATTTTTTAAATTAAATGTTTTTTTACAAAATATTATTATATTCAGGACACCATAGAATCACAGACCATTGTCATAGCAAAGCTTCAACAAGAAGTTTCTGAACTTACTGAAGCTGGTGTCAATATGCATGAATTATTTAAATCTGCATTGGAGTCAAGTGAAAAACATAAATCCTATGTAAATTTAACCAAAACCAAACTTGATGAATCAGAAAATATGATTATTAATCTGAGAGAAAAAGTATTAAATATTAAACATTAAATATTCTAATGAATGAATTAAAAGTAAAACTAAATATTTTTATTGTAAAGAATTTGGAATTACATGAAGAAATTGAGAAAAAGTGTGATGCTATTAAAAATTTACACTCTATTAATGATAAACTGACACAAAAAAATAATAAATTGATGGATGAAAACGAAAAAACAGTGTCCCATTTAGAACAGGTAAAATTTTTTTAATTTACAGGGATTGTTATAAAAAAATAATTTTTATTTTAATTAAGTTCATTTATAGTACAATAATATATATGGTATTAATATTCTAGAATATTCTTCATCATATTACATTACTATAAAATATTATATTATGTTTTGTAATGTACATTACAAAACCTTCTAAAAAAATACATATTTCAAAAGACTTAATTTTTTTTTTATAAGTAAGATTAATGTTTGCTATTATAAGCAGTTAAAAAAAAGATAAAAGTCACTTTTTATTTTAAATTATCATACTTTAATTTATATTGGTGAAAATGTCAGAGAACTGAAAATATTTAGTTGCGTCATTATTTTAGTAAATAAATAATAATTGTATTAGTATATGAAGATTGATATTTTAGTATAAATGACTGTTTGTAATAGTTTGTAAAAAAGAATATTATAGAGTTCGCATTTAAATGAAATTTGAAATTAAAGAATGCATATTTTAAATTTAATACCAATTTATTTATTGATTCATTGTTTTATGTTGAACATCCTTTCAACTTAGAAATTTAATTCTTGCATGAGAGCAGAAAACCTATTTTACCTCTTATACAAAAAAAAAAAAAATGTAATAATAAAAAGGTCAGTCAATTAAAGTTTTAAAAATATCATTATCAGCTATATAATTGTGGTGAAATTTTTTAAAACTGATTATTATACATTTTTTTTTAAATAAGTAATGTTTCGTTATGCAATATTTCAAATTTATTTTTTGTAGTTTATTTAAACCTGATGCTAATTATTTATTTTAGATTTTAGCAGATAAAACAAAATTGCAAAAGCAAAATAATGATTTACAGTATGAATTGAATAAAGTTAATAATGCTTTAATGATAGCAGAAGACGAAGCATCCTTATCCAAAGATGCTTTACAAGATTTTATTTCTAAGAAATTCAATTTTGCAGAAGCCAAAGAAATATTGTTTTCAGTTAAATCATCAGCTGAATTAAATTCAACAAAGAAAATGTGTGAAAAATACCAAAACAAAATTGAGGAACTTATTAAGTCAAATCAGCAAAGTAGAGGTTAGATTTATTTAAATAATTTATTTTTAATTTTTAAACATTTTTATCTCATAGATCAAATAGATACATTGAATAATGAAATAGTTAATCTAAAAACTTCTTATATCAAATTAAAATCTTCTAAAGATGAGCAAGAAACTAAATTGAATGTGCTATCCAAATTTTTCAAAGATCAGGAAAAAGAATATCAAAGGTAATTAAAAATTTTAAATATGACTTTTTTTTATTCAAATTTTGAAGTTTTTGTTGAATTAAATTTTAGACAAATAGATGAAAAAGCCTCGTTGTATAAAAACGAAATTGGAGAATCTACTAATCTTTATAAACAAATTGAATTTTTAAATCAAGAAATTTCAAATTACAAGTAAAAAAAAAAAGGATTATATTTTTCTATTCATTAATTTAAATTAATTATTATAGATCAGTAAATCAATCATTAAAAAATGAAATTAATGATCAAGAAGCAAGCTTTAAAATACAATTATCAGCAGCAGATAAGAAAGCCAATGATAATTGGGTAAATTCTTTATTTAAAAATAATTAATTTCATATACAAATATGTATAACTGTATCTATCCATCTTTTTGAGATAAACTTAAAAAATATCTAGTTTTAAATTAAAAAAAGTATATGTGCAATATAATTACTTAAATTTAAGCCTTAACTAAAGAAAAAGAAATTTCAGAACTTAAAAATTAATGGAAAACACTTAATTTTTTTTAACAAAAATTTTTACAGTTAAAATTTGATTAATTTTTCTTTTTAAGATGGCATTCAGGCAAGCAGAAAGAAAACTCAAAGAAATGGAAATTGAAACAGCTCAACTTAGAAACAAATTAACAATGTCTGATAAAAAGTTTGACAATGGCACAAGTAAGTAAATTTTACTAATCATAGGTGTCCTCCAATACTAAACTATCAAAAGATTTCATTTAATATATCAAGAAATTGTTTTTAATGTCTTCAGATATAATATTATGAGGCATATAACTCCTTTAATTATTCTTACATCTCATCTTTTTAATGACTTAGTCAATAGTTTTAGTTTGGATCGTATATTGTTTTAATGTAGAAGTATTGAGGCTTTTTACATTGAAAATTTTTATTGATCAATCTTAGTAAAAGTAATAAAAGATTTGATTATTTTATTCATAATTAGTAGGACACACTACTTGGTACATACTTTGTAAAATAAATTTAAATGAAGGGTGATGGCTTTACTGATACTCATATTACTCAATAAGGATCATTACAAATAAAAACAACTTATTTCTTTTAATATAAAAACAAAAATCTTTCTGTTTAATTTCTTATCATCTTTTTCCTCGTCTTAATGTCAACTTCTTGGAGTCATCCATCCTTATTCTAAAATACTAATTGACATGATCTTCCACATCATCTACACACACATCAGACATCCTCATATCGCATTTAATAACATCCCTTCATCTCTTTATTGTTCATTCTTTACCTTTTCTTCCTTCAACATTCATTTCTATAACTGTTCTTACAACTTGCGATTTTTCACACCTTATAACAAAACCATCTAAGTCTATTTTCTTTCATCTTAACGATTGATACTACACCTATATTTCCTCTTATACGTTCATTCCTTATCCTATCTTCTCTCTATTATCATTCTTATCTCTGCTCTAATTTATTATCAACTGCCCAATACTCTGAACCATACATCATAGCTGGTCTCACTACGGTCTTGTAGAATTTACCTTTCAGCCTCATTGGAATTCTTTTATCGCATAAGACGCCAGACACTTCTCTCCAATTCAACCTCCCGCACTTAATCCTGTGTCTTACTTCCTTGTCAAGACCACTGCTCTATTGCATAACTGACCCTAAAAACTTTCCATCTCTCCAATCACGTTCTCGCCTATTGTCACTGATCTCCTCATTTCACCTTATACACTCTTTCTCTGCTCTATTCTTTTGTCAATTGCTAATCACTCTGAACCATACATCATAACTGGTTTCACTACAGTTTTATAGAACTTGACTTTCAGTTACACTGAATTCCTTATTGCAATACACACCAGACGTTTCTCTCCATTTCACCCACCCGCACTCTATCCTGTGTTTTATATGGCTCAATTAATAACAGAAAAAAACCTAATCTGTCCTACTGTTTTTTTTATTGATGCAACAGCCTGCCACATTTCTTATTACTAATTAAATCTACCAGTCCCTGGTATAATTTCTGTTTGATTTTTTTGTAAACTATTAAATTTCAAACACTATTTTATTTTAATAAGTTAAAATTAAAATTACTTTAAAACTCATTGAACTTAACTATTCAAAATTTTAATAATTATAATTTATATTTTCATTAATTATGCCCCTATAATTTTCACACTCTTGTATATCTCATTTGCCTCATTTTTACAGAAAAATAAAACTTAGAAGTTGTTAATCTTAAAATTAATTTTTGAAATACTGTTATGCATTGTTATTAATAAGTTATTATATTTTCAATTTCCAATTTAGATTTTATCTAATCTATATTTATAGGATGAAATATTATTTCTTATTACACACTTTTTACACAAATAAGATGAGTTTTATCTTATTTATGCTATATAATTACACTTTTAAAAATAACATGTAGCCTTAAAAAAAAAATTGCATTAGAATAATATATCTATTAATAAATTAAAATTTCTTTAAATAAGTCTGATAACACAGTTTTCTCTTATCTAAATGTGAACATTACAAATTGAATTTCATAATGATATAGTTTTTTAAAATTATTAATAGTAAACTAATGTTTTACAAATGATTCATAATATGAATATAGTAATATATTTATTATAATTTAAAAGTAAAGGCTTGCGAATAGATGAATTTGTTACTATAATAATAATTTTTATGATTTAGATTATTAAAATTGTATTTAAATTATATGTTTTATATTTTTTTCTTAGAAAGTGTGGATTCCTCAAAAGATTTTGAAGATGAACTTTTGGACATTCCGTTACCTACTGTATCACCAGATTTTACATTGTTAGATTTTGAGCCTCCTCCTCCTATATTCCCCACCCCTCATACTTCTACTGACCAAAGGCTTCCTCCACTTGGAGCTCTAGGCCAAGGTCCTCCATCTCCTGTCTCTTTAACAAGAAGACAAAATAGGTTAATATCACCACCACCTCCTGTTCCATTACATTCTTCTGCTTTTAGGCCTTTGCCACAACGATACAATTATTTGGATCGACAAAGTAAGTTTAAAATTATTTTAATACACTTCATTTAAATTGAAAGATTTTTTTATGAGAATTAATGCTAAGAAAAATTTAGATTTTATTTATTTATTTTGAATTAACGCCAAAGACTTAAGTATAGTAATTAAATGTTAGCAAAATTTAAACATAATAGAACTTAAAAATGAAAATTATAAGATTGAAGAAAGAAGTATACAATGTTGCAAATATAAAAGTAGACTACCAAATAATATTAAAATATAAGTATAACAAACTTACATAATATTGATTTATATGTAGTATTGTGCGATTGATGCACAATCGGGTTTAAAAATACCAAAAGAAGACAATTTAATACTTTCAATAGACATTCTATTTAGAGGAGTATTAAAACCTTATGACATTTAATGAAAAGAGTTAATACTTATAGTAATAAAGCAAATAAATAAATTTGCCAATGCCTTTAGCCCAATGATAATAGTCATAATTTGAGTACACATATTAAATTAAAAAAAATATTATCATGTTAAAAGAGGCATGGTACGAGATTAGATCCACAACCCAAGGCATTGTTAAGACAAACCTTACCACTAGGCTATCTAGTACTTTTGATTTAAATTCAAATCCCGATACACTTCCGTATAGGTCAATAACATTATGTTCAGATTAGGGAAACACAATACCACGTCAGTAATAATCCAAGAAATACTGTGCTATACTTTTTATCCAAATTTTTTTTTAATAGTTAAGATAGAGTAAAATTATTAGTTGATTGATATTTACTTTTAATTTATGTTGTTTCAGATTCCTTAGGTCATTCAGTTGAATCACTTGATAATTAGAATTTATGTACATATTATTGAGTAACTTATATGATAACTAAAGTATTGATGTTATATTCTTAAGTTCATTGTTTATGTTAATGTAAATTATTACTAATATCAGTTAATATTTTTAACCAATAATTAATATAAATAAATTTTTTTTATGACTATTATTTATTTATATTTATAATTTTCTATTAGGATGTTATATTTTTATTTTCACTAAAACCACATTTTGTTAATTAATCGTTATAAAAAATTGAGTTATTATAAACATCTTTTTTACTTGGTAAATTAATAATATGTAAATATAAAATAAATTGAATATCATTGTAGGCTGATACTATTTTAGTTACTACAGATGAATACTTGCCATATTTCTGTAGTTGATGTTATGTTAACATCTATACTAAGTATGAAGTTAATTTATGTATACTTTACTACCAAACCTATTAATTTTCTTAAATATAAATTTAGAATATCACATCTTTAAGAGTTTAATTTGGTCTTGAAAAATTGTATTTGTCAAAATTCTATTTTATGATTCAAAATTTAACTAATAATAAAATAATAATTCCTGAAGTATAAAAATTTTGAATAATATAAAGTTGTAAATATAGTATATTGTACATGGAATTTAGAAAATGGTACCAAAATATAAGTTTTTATAATGAGTGTTGGCTTTGATTCTAAGCTGAAAAGGTATTAATAGAATAATTTTGGTATAAATGCTTATTGTTATAAATCATTGTTTTTTTTTTAGTTCAACAGTGTAAACTATTTTCAAATTTAATAATTCTACTTAGAAGAATAAGGTATGGTTAATATGTTCTTCAAATACTAGGCCCTTATAATGTAAATTACATTAATTTAATTATAATTTCTTTTCATTTAAACTAAATATTTGACTCTCAGTTTGAAATAACATATATTTATGTTGTTTGTAGTTAATATATTTTTTTTTCTATGATAAATAACAATATCATTAAATTATAACTTGCAACTATTCCTGCTTAAAAATTTGTTGATAATTTCTGATATTTTTTTTGGATTATTTATGTGTACATCATGGTTACCCTCAACTTCAATAATTTCTACAAATGGGTTTAACTTGAAAATATCAAATACAGCCTTATAAATTGTCTTAAAATATTCAGCACTTTCTTTAGCTATAATAAGAAGAGTTGGACATTTTATATTTCTTACTACATTTAAATGTTGCTCAGGAGATAACATTTGATGATAAGGTACTTTAAGACGCTGGTCTGCATTAAAATTATATTTTCCAGAGAGCCCATACTTTATAGATCTTTTTAATAAAGTACGAGCTGCTTCATCAGTTAATTCTCCATAAAATCTATGTTTAATATGATGAAAAGCTTCGTCATAGGTGTACCCTGGTATAACATCCGTTTCTTGAATTTCTTGTTCTTTTTGTAACAATTTATCAATTACTTGTCTTGTAAATAAAACAATCTCTTTAGGTTCAACTGGTATAGGCCCACTACTATCTAGTATAATTTGTGTTATTACATGCTGAGGATAGAGAGCAGTGAAAAGGTTTAAAATTTGTCCTCCCATACTGTGACCAATTACATGAAACTTGGTCCACTGTATATAGTCTACAACTTGTTTCAAACTCACAACATAATTTTCTTGTATCCAACGAGTTCCCAATGGTGCTCTTGATGAGTAACCATGATTGGGTAGATCAACACATAAATAAGTTTTATCTGGATTTAAAAGAGGAATTAAGCAATCAAAGCTGGAACAATTATCCTGTAAGCCATGGACGCAAAGAACTCGTACTCCTATATTTTCTCCCCATAATTTAGCTATAATAAAAAAAATGGAAATGTTAAATAAGGAAATAATAACAATATTGTATGCAATAATTTGATTTTTTCTGCTATATGGATTAATGTAAATGAAAATTGTAAAAAGTATTCTTTGATTAATTAAAATTATATTTTGTCAATGGAACACAAAAATATTTGTGAATTATAATTACTTTATTTTGCATTAATTAAAAACATTTTTCAAATTTTGTATTGTAAGGGAAAAGACTTATAATACAAGGTGTGAAAACACATAATAAATTAAACTAAAAAATGATTCTAAAATTCTTTTTTTTAATTAAAGCCAAAATTATTTTTCAAAAAAAAATAAAAGCCACAAGACAATTTTCTTCTAGTCCCTGATTTTAATAAATAAATCTATTACAATTAAAACAAATATGTAATTTTACATAACAAGTTTACAAGATTGTTTAAAATTACAAGAAAACATAAACTTGTAGTTTTTAATTAATAATATTGTTTCAAAAATTTTAAAATATGAGTGAAAACTCTATCTGGATAATTTAAATGAACACTATGATCTCCATTAACATAATTAATTGTAACTTTTGGATGTGTGCTGTAAAATTCATAAGCATTTTTCAAATAATTTGAATAACGTCCACAATTTTCATCTGCTAAAACAAATAGAATAGGACATGATAAATGACTTAAAATATTTTTTTGTTGGTCAAAGGTCATTAATGGATGTATCTGTAGTTTCAAGCGTTGATCATATGAAAATTTAAAGCTTTCATTATTAACTTTGATTAAACTTCTTTTAGCTAAGATATGTACAGATTCATCAGTAAGTTTAGATGGTCGGCTGCTTTTAATTTTTTCAATAGCTTGATTGTAGGTATAAACTGGAGGATCACGACCTTTCTGGCGACTCTGCAATGCTTGAAAGTCATCAATACGAGTTCTAACATTTTGCTTAGTTATATTACAGTCAACAGATCGAGGTCCCATTGTATCAAGAACGATAAGACATTTAATATATTCTGGATATGTAGAAGTAAACCATGATCCTAACTGACCACCAAAACTATGTCCCAGATAAACAAACTGGGACCAATTAAAATGATCTCTTATTAGTTTAATTACACTAAGATAATTAATGAATTCCAAAGGAACATGTTGTGGAAAATGTGCAGATAATCCATGACCAGGTAAATCAATACAAATATAGTAATAATCTGTTGGTAATAAAGGCATGAGTTTAAAAAAAGTATCACAGTTATCTTGAATTCCATGAACACAAAGAACAGCAGGGTTAGTTTCATTTCCATAAACTTTTGCTGTAATCAAAATTAATACAAATACAATTAAAAATATATAGCAAAAATTATTTAGCATTTAAAAAAAGTAAAAAAAAAATAATTATTTAATGATTCATAACAATACACAATCACATTAAAAAAAACTTATTCACAATTATTTAATTATTATTATTATACTATTTATATTTAAATGTTCACAAATGGTTACAGCTTAGAATTTTCTGCAGTTAAAAATGCTTCTATTAGATTAGCAATTCGATCTGGATGGTTTAAATGCACATCATGATTTCCATTTATCTTTACAACTTGTGCATTGGAAATGCTTTTATACATTTTTCTTACTAGTTTAACTCTGGAAGTTTTTTGTTCAGGATTGTCAGTTACCCAAATGTATAATAATGGACATTTAATGTTTTGAACAAAGATCAATTGCTGCATTGGAGATAATATCAAATCATTATATACTTTCATTCTTTGATCTGTTGAAAATGAATACTTTTTATCGGCATTCATTTGTAATGAACGTTTTATTAGTATTTCAGCAGATTTTTGTGTTAGTTTAGATGGCCTTTTTGTTAATATTAAATTTAATGCTTGTTCGTAAGTATATGATGGTGGTGATTGATTAGACATTTTTTTTTCTATTGTTAACAAGTCATCACAAAGTTTCCTTAAATATATGACCGTTTCATCAGGATGAACAATAGCAGGTCCTGCACTATCAATCATAACTAAATGTTCTAGATATTCTGGATAAATCGCAGCAAATAAACTACAAATCATACCACCCAAACTGTGACCAATACATTTAAATTTTTTCCATTTTAAAAAATCGATTACATGCTTAATAGCAATGGTAAAAGTTTCCAATGTTATTCGAAATCCAGGAGCATAATGAGAAGATTTTCCGTGTCCTGGAAGATCAATGCATACAAAATAGAAGCCAGGTGGCAGTAAAGGAATAAGTCTATCAAATGTTCCACAATTATCTTGTTTGCCATGGACACAAAGAACTCTAGTAGCCATGGTATTACCCCAAGTTTTAGCTGAAATTAAATTTTGTTTTGCCAATAAATTTTATGTTAATTCATTAAAATAAAAATTAATAAACTAAAAATTATTGAATTATTTTGTATTTACTAACAAAATGATAAATTTAAATATAACACATAGAACTATATAATTTTCATATTTTTTAAGTTACAAAAAATTGCAAAATATAACAAAGTAATTACAACAATTTTTTAAGTTAATTTAACATATTGAGAAGGCAAAATATTATGTGTCGCACAAAAATATACTGGTTGCTGATAAGCTCTTGTTAAACTGCTATTTTTGATTACACAATAATTTATATAATAGTAAAAAAACACCATGATTTAAGAGCAAAAAGCAACAGAATATTACTATAGTTAACATTCCCATGAATACACCAGATAAAACTTAATTAGAAATTGGTTTATATCAAACCGAAAATAATAAAAATAGAAAATTTTTCATTAAAACTACACAAGAATAAAAACAATATTGAAATAATGGAGAAAATTGACCTAAATGAATTCCAGATATTGATATTATTTTTGACAAAATTTAATGTTATTAAAATAATTATTAATTACATAAAATAGTTTTTAATAATTCATTTAATAGCAAAAAAAATTTTTTAATAAAAATTTACCTGAAATATGTCCCCATGGTACTGGAATTGTTATTTCTTGTGTATTCATATTTGCAAGGTTAATTATCTGATATACATATATATATAAATTTATATCAGATAATATTATTTGTATTTTGAGTTAAAAATAACTACAATATTTATTAAATTAATATTGATATTTTTTATTTTAACCTATTAAAAATTAGAAACTAGATTTTAAATCAAGATTATTCGTTAAAGATCAATATAAAAATATTATGGTAAATATCTCTCATTTATAGAAATGATAGACTTCAAAGTAGAGATTATTGATCCATCACTAAAAAATATGAAATGCGATGACCTTGAATGTCCGTGACCTTGATGATGTAAAGACATAGAATAATTATACACAAGAAATTATTTGAGTAATTAATTTAGCTGTGTAATGACATAAAAATGAATTTTATTTATGACATAAAGATTGTATAGTTGAACTGACTATATGATATGTAATGAAGGTACTATTATTAGTGATTCATAAGGTAATTGTTATGGTTGAAATAACATATTTATCAATGGAATTTTAAAATGATAACAATTTAAACTGTTCATGAACCAAATTTTTTTTTTAATCATACAATTTAATATATGCACATTATTCATACAGTGTTATTGAATGTGTAATTTTAATTAAAAGCTAATGATTATTGAATTAAATTTGTGTACATGTTTTTTAAATTAATTAAATTCTAATTTTCATAACATCTTAAATTGTAAAGTTCACTACATTAATTACATTACATTTTTTCAAATATCAAATTATTCCACAAATAAAACGGGATAAATCAAAATTAAATTATGGTTTGAACTAGTTTACTATTTTACTAAATAACATAATATTTGTATGTATTAAATATGGCTCAAAATTCATGTGGTGATTCAATAGTTAATAAATTAATGAGATTAGCTGATCTTGCAATGGAACGACTAGAATATGGACCCGCATATGGTCATCTCTCTGTGTTATTAGAGATAGCACCTCATCATAAAAATAGTATCAAACAAAAATATATTATTTGCTTGTGTAAGCTAAAAATACGTTATTATTTATTTGTCATTCAAACATTTTAATGAACTTACATAAACTAGTAATAATTATATGAGTGCATATGTAACCAATTAAAAAAATGTATTTGATTAATAATATAATAAAAAATAAGAAATCAATATGATGCATAATTTTTGATAGGTTATTTATTCTTATAGTAATAAAATAAATGCAATTATTAAAATCATATTTGAATTATAATAACTGTTATATTTATCACTAATAAAAAAATAAAACTCAAATTCAAAATATTTTATTTTTTATTCTTTCCAAAATTTCAAAATACTAATTTTTGTGCCTTTTAATTTTAGTGATAAATAATAAAAATATATTTTTTATACATAGTTACAACAAGAATTATAAACTTTATTAGGTTATATATATACAGGGTGTTCAGTAAGTCAGGAAACGGGTTTCTATTGTTCTCATTGTTACAAACAATGAGAACAATAGAAACCCATTTCCTGACTTACTGAACACCCTGTATATATACTTATGAACAACTAGTATAATAGAAACCTAAAGCATTAAGAATGGTAAGAATTGTCTTATAAGATTCCTTTAATTTCTTAAAATTAAAATATCTAAATGACTAGCTCAATTAAGAAGTTTGTGATGAATTCATTAAATAATATTAGACAATACTCTCTGGATAGTATTAAAAAAAACTGTTCATTAATTCATGTGCTTAAAACTGACTTTTTTTATCTTCAGGTAATTATGGAAAAGAACTCGAAAATCGACAATGTTATTCAGAGATATTTCAATGTTATGAAAAGGCTTTCAAATGGTTTTCAGATAGTGAAATTTTATTCAATAATTTAGGATCTCATCTTTTAAGGTTTAATACAAACAATTTTTTATTTTAATTTATCAGTCTTTATATTTATTCAAATTTACATGTTTTGGTTTAGATTAGGCTATAATAAAGAAGGTGAACAATTTGTAAAAAAAGCTATTTCTATTAACAATACATACTTACCGGCTTTAAATAATATTCATATCATTAATAGTAATAATATAGAACGTTGGCATTATAGAATGTTAAATGATTCAATACGAAATTTAGCTTATAGAAATGCTATTCATTGTAAAATATTAGAAGGTTATGACAAAATTTTAGATATCGGATGTGGTACTTTAATACTTAGGTATTAAATATTAATTAGTACATTGATAATATAATATATAGTTTATTAAATTTATTATTTCAGTTTATTTGCTTCAGAACTCACCCCGAAGAAAATTTATTCATGTGATTATTCTCCAACTATGTTAAACATTGCTTCTGAAGTAATGATTTTAAATAAAAAGGAAAAATGTATTAAACTTTTTAATATGAACTCAAATCAACTCAGCATTCCAGAACATATAGATGAACGGTACTTTTATATAATAATAATTATTATTTTATTAATTATAAGAGTACTAGAGCCACATTATGAAAGAATCATTGTTTTAAATTATCCTTCTGACTTATTTATGTTATCCCTCCATTTCTAATTTAGACATATATTTGAGTATTTCAATTAATTTAAAAAAAATTTGACAGTATTACTTCTATTACTCTATTCTGCAAGCCTTCGTATGTCATTAAAGAATTATTCCAATAATATTACTTAATATTTTATTTACCTTTATCTTATTCCTGAAATTTCAATGTATTCCTAAAAACATATGTAGTATAATAAGTAAATGTATTATTTTTCATTTGACAGATCTTTTATATATTTTAATACTTATGAAAACGAATCAATATTTATATGGTTGGTTTTCTTATTCAACCTAATAATATTACATTACTTTGATACATTGTAGAGAGAGATAGAGAAATCTGGTTTTAAATAATGTTCAAAATAAGTATATCCGATTATGAGGAATATAATTTTAAAAGACATCAGACATTAAAGACACTACTGATATAGTTCATTTTATGTTCATGTCAATCAGTTTGGATTATTCGTATTCAGTTTTAAAACCTTTATAGTACACAATGTTAGGTAATAGATCAATATAACTTTATAAAATTAAAAGTGTTTGTCATTCAGTTTAATTCCAATACTTATAATATTAATATATAATTAACATATTTTTTAATGCCTTAAATTTCTATACTTAATCAAATTTTTAAGTTCTTTGTATTTTCAAATATTTTTATTGTCATTAAATTCAGAGCCCTATTCACAAATATTAAATAATATCAAAAAAATATAATTTAATGATTATTAATATTTTAGAGTTTCTTTAGTTGTAACTGAAATCATGGATGCTGGTTTATTTGGTGAACACATTTTAAAAACACTTCATCATGCTTGGGAACATCTATTATTACCACCAAAGACAAAAGAAAACTTAAATATTCCACATGGATGTGTTATTCCCCTAAAAGCTTCAGTATTCGCTGTACCTATTCAATGCTCATATTTAAGAAGAAAAAATATTTATTCTGGAAAAAATAATTCGGTTTTTAAAGATTTAAATTTATGCTCAGTTATGAATGAACCTTATGATTGTGAAAAATTAGATCAATTACCTGGTGGCTATACGTTTTTAGCAGAGCCAAAAGTAATAATGGATATAAATTTTAATGATCCATCTGAAATTAGTCATTTAATAAATGTTCAAGATAGTAAAAAAACATTTAAGTATACAATTACTAAGTCTGGAATAGTTGATGCTATTGCTTCTTGGTTTACAGTATATTTGACTGAAGATATATATATAAATACTTTTGAAAAGGGATACAAAGATTGTTGTTGGGAACAAGCATTGTTCTTATCAAAAAATATTGTTAACGTAAATGAAAAAGATGAACTGTGCATACTATACAAATGGCAAAATGATCATTATAGTCTTTGTTTAGAAAATGAAGATCTATCTATAATTTCTATTGATAGAGAGATAATTTCTTTTTTGAATGATAAAAGTCAAATTGAAACATACATCAGTGCTGCTAAATATTGGTAATTTATCATTCAATTAAATAAAAAAAATTGAAGAATCCTCTTCTAGTAATATTCATAAAATATACTCAAAAAATGTTTCCTATATAAGCTTTATAAAATATTTAATAATCAAAAAAATATTTTTAAAAAATTATGGGAAAATAATTTTCAAACATATTTATATATAACACTGTATTACAATAATGAATTTATATGTTTTTTAGGTATTCGGTTAACAAGTCAAAATTTAATACAATAGTCATCCTAGATGTATGTCCATTTCCAATTTTTGGTCTTGAAATACTTTCTATGGCTCAAACATGTAATTTTAATCACGTAAAATTATATTATACAAACAAAAATTTAACTGAAGTTTTAGAAAAAATTGAAATTTATACCTCAGAATTTATTAAAGGAAACATTTGTTATTTTGATAAAAGTAATAGTACTATGAAGTTTGACATTATTATTGTAAACTACATTAGTTACTGTGGGGAATTAAGCTCAACTCTTATAGATGAATCAACAACTTTTTTGTAAGTATAAAAAAATGGTAACAAAAATAAGTATATCATAAACATGTTTTTCTTATAGCTTCAAAAATTCCATTACATAGTGATGTATTGCACTAGGTTATTATTTACACTTTAGATATGGACACTACTACAATAATTGAAAACATAATTCGATTACTTTTACTCTGTTAATCATATTAATGCACAAAACATAAACAGTAAAATTAAGTTCAAATTAAATATAATTTATTTTTTTGCTTTATTCTGAACATTTATTTTAGTTTTTAAATCACAGTTAGAATATATTATAATTCATTTCTATTCTAATATATCATATTTATAGTTTAAAAATTCAATCAATAAGAGACTTCATAGCTATAATAATACAAATCTATATCTAATTTGTAACTTGTAATCCATTTATTGAAAAATAATATTTTGATTTGTATTTTATTTTTAGCAAATTATTAAATCCCAATGGTATTATTTTGCCTTCTAATGTTTCAATTAAATGTCAATTAATTTATTCAAAATGGTTACCTTATGTTAGTCAAGTACTTGAAAGTGACAGCTGTAATAATCATATTCGAAATCTTTTGAATAAATATAGTGTAAGTAATTTTCAATCATGTATATATTAGTTAATTGATTTTTATGAAAATCTAGGTCAATCATCATTTGGATGTCTTCAACCATTTAATAACAAGTACCTTGCTTTCAAGTTCCATAACATGTTTGTCACTTTCATCAAATTTAATGACTCAAGAAGTTTCATCTGTAATAAGAATTCCTATAATTTCAAATGGATGTGCTAATGCTATAATTTATTTTTTTGAAATTAATGTTTATGGTAGTTATAAAGTTACAACTGGGATTGAAGACTCGTATGTAAATCAATGTGCATTTCTTATAGAAAATCCTAAATATGTTTATTTAAGTGACTCCATTGCAGTAAATGTAATATATGACAGTGGCCATTTGTTATTGAACCTTAATAATTCATAATATTAATATTAAATATTTGACTTTAATTTAATTACATTTTTTTTTAATTGAATATACAATTTATGAATTATTTCTTTGTAGTTTAAATTAATCTAGATTATTTAAATTTCCCATTTAAAAAAGGATCACTACCCTTTTATTTCACAAATTTCTTGTTTCAATAAAAATTATTACATGTTTCAATTAGCAATTTATCCATTAATAGTTTGTCCCAACCACGAACTAAGATAAAATCTATTTTATTTTTAGTTTCTGGTTCCAAATTATACCTAAATTATAATTGATTCCGCAAATATTTGTACTGAAATTATCCTAAAAGTAACCTCTAAAAATAAGGGTTTCCCAAGGTATGTTTTTGATTAAAATTACACAATTTTGATATAATATTAAAAATTTTAAATAAATATGAAATATTATTTGTATTTAAATTTAACAATAAAAATATAATATATATTTTTGGAAAATTTTATGAAAGTTTTATGTAATGGTATTTATATTAAAAACCCCAAAAAATTGTTTTCCTGAATATTATTTTTTGTTTATGATATAATAACCAGAAAATCTCTATTATTGTGTGGGTAGATATCTTACAACACACAATTAATTAAATGGCGGTAGACTTTTATTAAACAAAATTATAACACGAAAATAGACGTATAAACACTAAAAGAAAATATCCTTACTGTATGTATATACAGTAAGGAAAAATAAAATAATCGAAGTAAACATAATACACGATGACAACAGCGGCGGGGTGTAGCGGTCGTGTAGCGTATCGCGGACTAGACAGTCTGAACTGAACTAACTAACTGACTGATTCTTCCGATATATATATAGCTCCGATAAGGCTCTCGCTAATTCTAGAATATTCTATACCCGCGTAGGTTATCTTATGGCGTTATCGAAGTTTCTCGAAGGTTTTTGATAACGAGAACATTCGAGAATATTCGTTGCGTATGTTTTGGTCGCTACATCACTCCCCTACCAGTGACGGAGTCAAGCGGAGCCTACTTGAAGACGGTCTGGAAAATGGACTCTTCTTCCGGAACGTGTCCTTTGATCCTCCCTGGGAATGGTAATGGGTGTATGTGTCTGGATCTTTTTCGGAATATTTTCCTTAGAGTATTCATCTGCCATGATGTATGCTGGTTTAAGTCTATCTATAGTAACTGTAACTTTCTTCTTATTAATATCAATAACAAAAGTTTTTTCGTTCCTACTTATGACTCGATAGGGACCATCATAGGGCATTTGAATTCCGTTTTTGGGCCCATCATGTCGAATGAATACGTACTCTGTGGTTGCTAGATCCTTGAAAACGAAATTTTTCTTCTCGCCATGTCGTGTACCATTGACTGGTCGGATCTGCTGAATGTGATGTCGAAGGTCTTTGATAAACTCAGCTGCGTCGTCGCACTTGGCGGTATTATTATTTGACGTGAGGAATTCACCAGGGAGTCTAAGTGGCTCTCCATAGACTAATTCTGCCGAGGTGGATTTAAGATCGTCACGCCAAGCTGCTCGGATACCCAATAAGACTGTCGGAAGAGTTTCTGTCCATCGATTATTCTGATGACATTTAATAGCGGCTTTAAGCTGCCGATGGGATCGTTCCACCATGCCATTTGCTGAAGGATGATAGGCCGTAGTTCTAAGATGGTTCGTACCAGTCAGGTAATTAAGTTGCTTGAAAAGGCATGACTCGAATTGTCTTCCTTGATCTGTTGTGATACGAAGAGGGGTACCAAATCTTGCAATCCAATGTGTATAGAAGGCTCGTGCTACAGTTTCCGCTTCTTGATTTTCCAATGGAACTACTTCAGGCCATCGAGTAAATCTATCGATGCACGTGAGGCAGTAACGAAATCCTTCGGAATAAGGCATAATTATTAAATCTAAATGAACATGCTCAAATCTTCGAGACGGTAGAGAAAATGACCCAAGGGGTGCTGTGACATGTCGCGTGATTTTGGCTCGTTGACATTCGACACATGCCCGTGCCCAATGTCTGCAATCTGCGTCAATTCCTGGCCACACAAACCGCTGTTTTACAAGCTTCACTGTGGCTTTAACTCCTGGATGTGCAAGGCGATGTATGGTATTGAAAACTGTTCGTCGAAAAGGCTTTGTAACAAAAGGTCTGGCGATTGAAGTTGATGTGTCGCAGAACACTAAGACATTCGTGCCTGGTAATTCCACTTGCTTAAGTCGCAATCCGGTGTTTTCTTGTGCATACTTTTTCAATTCGTCGTCTCCCTGTTGTGACATTGCTAAAGCAGTGTAGTCTAACGTGTCTGATAATGCGTCCACGCGTGATAGGGTATCAGCCACGATATTCTGTTTACCAGGAACGTACCTAATATCCGTGGTGAATTGTGAAATAAAGTCCAAGTGTCTGAATTGTCGTGGTGTGCACTTATCCGATTTCTGTTGAAATGCGAAAGTGATAGGTTTGTGATCGGTGTATATAACAAACTCGCGTCCTTCCACCATATGCCGAAAATGTTTGACAGCGAGATAGATCGCAAGAAGTTCTCGATCGTAAGCTCCGTATTTTGTCTCAGTCGCCGTGAGTTTCTTGGAAAAGAAGGCGAGGGGTTGCCACTCGTCATTGATGAACTGTTGGAGAGTTGCGCCAACCGCTGTGTTTGAAGCGTCGCTTACAATAGCCAGTCGAGCGTTGTCACATGGGTGCGCGAGAAGCGTGGCTGTGGCGAGTTCCTCCTTGCATTTCTCGAACGCTGAAATTGCTTCTGGTGTCCAATTAATAGGTGCTTTACCTTTTAGATTAGGTACTAAGAGATCACTTAGTGGTGATTGTGCATCTGAAGCTCTAGGTATAAAACGACGATAGAAGTTTAACATACCTAAGAACTGTCGTAGACCCTTAGCTGACGTTGGCCTCTTGTAGCTCAATATGTCAGCGACTCTATCAGGTAGAGGACGTGTTCCTTCTTTAGAAATCATGTAGCCCAAAAACTTTACTTCTGGTTGTCCAAAAACGCATTTTTTAGGATTGAGAACCAGAGAGTATTCGCGTAGTCGCTCAAAAATGATCTGTAAATGTTTGATGTGTTCTTCTTCAGAAACAGATGCCACGAGTATGTCGTCAATGTAACTGAAACAAAAATCAAGTCCACGGAGTACTTCGTCAATAAATCGTTGGAACGATTGTGCTGCGTTTCGAAGTCCAAAAGACATAAAGAGGAATTCGTAAAGTCCAAATGGTGTCACAATTGCAGTTTTAGGGACGTCTTCTTCAGCTACAGGGATTTGATTATACGCTCGAACCAAGTCGATAGTTGAAAAAATCGTTTTACCGTGGAGAAAGTGCGCGAAGTCCTGTATATGACGAACAGGGTACCGATCTGGGATAGTCCGGGCATTTAGAGCGCGGTAATCCCCACAAGGACGCCATGCATCTGTTTTGTTCTTTGGTACTAGATGTAATGGTGATGACCAAGGTCCTTGGGATGGTCGGATAATGCCTAGTTGGATCATAGCTTCAAACTCTTTTTTTGCTGCCTTAAGCTTATCAGGTGCTAAGCGTCGTGGTTTACAAGATACCGGGGGTCCTTGTGTCGTCGGGATAAAGTGTTTAGTGCTGTGTTTGATATCCTTCAGGGTCCCAAACGGTCGAGTGATCTCTGGAAATTCCCGTAGTAAACCGTCGTATTTCGTCTCTCCCACGACGACCTTAATAGATGGTATTGAGCACTTGACGGCGTGACCACGAGTGGTGAGTTGTGTAAGTCCGTCTAATAGACATTGATTGCGCACGTCTACCAAAAGATTGTAAAAACTTAAAAAGTCAACACCAATGATGGGCTTGGATACTTCCGCAATCACAAATCTCCAAGTGAAATCTCGACGAAGTCCGAAGTTTAGGCTGAGCGTGATAGTGCCGTAGGTGTTTATAGGCGTGCCATTGGCGGCTGATAGGACGTAATCGGTTTTTACGCGGTGGCCTGGAACAGCACTACGTGGATAAACACACAAGTCGGCGCCCGTATCGATGAGAAATTGAGTTTGGGAAGTTCGGTCTGTGATGAAAAGACGGCGTGGAAACTGACCGGGCTCACTGGCCGTCATCAGTGATGACCCGTCCCGTTTCCCGATTTATAGTTACAAGGTTCCTTGCATTTTTTCGATTGGGATCCATAACGCCAATGATACCAGCATATTCCGTCTGCGCCATGATGAGTGCGGCTTCGAGATCGTGACCTTGGACGGTAAGTATTTGGTCTTGAGTCCGGAGTACGCGAGGGGCGAGTATTTAACGCAGCCACTTCACTTCTCAACGCTGCAATCTCCTGATTAATATTTAGACTAAGTTGAGAAATCTTAAGATTCAACATGGCTTCAAAAGTGTCACTTCTCGACATTTCTGCTATTTGTGGTAGTAAAGGACCCGATGCGTCTGCGATGTTGTCCGCATGGACAGCGAGATCTTCAAGCTTACTATCTTTCACTATTGCCAACGCTACCTGTATACTTTTCGGTAAACGGCCCATCCAAAGTGTCTTCAATAACGTTTCCGGAACAGAAGAGTCGGCCAGACTTTGGAGATGGCGTAAAAATTGTGATGGTTTACGGTCTCCAATCTCAACGCGTTCTAAAAGTTGGCGTGTTTTCTCCTCTTGGGAGGCACTAAGACGTCTTATCAACTCTTGTTTAATTTTGGCGTACTTACTGTCTGAGGGCGGCGTCATAATTATGTCCTTGACTTCCACTGCGTATTTTGGCGGTAATGCTCCAACTACATACCCGAATTTTGTACTGTCAACAGTGACTCCCGCGCTGGCGAAACTTCCTTCGACCATAGCAAACCAAAGTTCGGGATCTGACGAAATGAAATCCGGTATCTTGACGGCTACTCGAGCAATTGTTTCGTCTGTCTGCGCCATCACGTCGAGGTCACCAATTTGTGGGTTATATCTTACAACACACAATTATTTAAATGGCGGTAGACTTTTATTAAACAAAATTATAACACGAAAATAGACGTATAAACACTAAAAGAAAATATCCTTACTGTATGTATATACAGTAAGGAAAAATAAAATAATCGAAGTAAACATAATACACGATGACAACAGCGGCGGGGTGTAGCGGTCGTGTAGCGTATCGCGGACTAGACAGTCTGAACTGAACTAACTGAACTGACTGATTCTTCCGATATATATATAGCTCCGATAAGGCTCTCGCTAATTCTAGAATATTCTATACCCGCGTAGGTTATCTTATGGCGTTATCGAAGTTTCTCGAAGGTTTTTGATAACGAGAACATTCGAGAATATTCGTTGCGTATGTTTTGGTCGCTACAATTGAGAGGACATAATTTAAAATCATGGGATTTGGCTAGTAGTAACTCTAGGGAGAGTCCCATGCAACCTTGCATTATTAAATTGTGCAATTAACAAAATTAAATTTCAGTTTTCTAATGGTTCAATGCTACATTATATGTGTCAAATATCTCTTTTTTTTTTATAACTTTTTGTCATACTACAGTTTAAAAAAAAAAATTCACGATAGGAAGATGATTTTTATCAAATGTTCTATAAAATAAAAACTTTATTTTGTGTTATGAAAATATTTTAATAATTTAAGTTATAAAACACAATATAATTGTTTACAACCGAAATAGTTTTTCATGTATATTTGTAGAATTCTAGAAGTATTAATTATAATTTTAAAGTTTATGATTGAATGAGAATGGCTATACCTTACTGTAAAGTCAATTCTGAAAAATATAAGGACCACGGTGAGAGTAAAAAAGAAGAGGAGGAAGAAAATAATGTTTTATAATTTTCATAATAAAATTTAAAAACTAAACTAATTTGTATTATCCTCTTTGAAATAATACCAATCAATCCAAAAGAGTAACAATGTATATACATACTAACACTGTTTTAATATTTATTCAGGCATAGCTGCATAATAACATAACTCACCATCCCTTTCTACAACTCCCAACTAAAATGCGTTTTCAATTAACCACCATTCCTGTCATAAAATAATTAATACTCACATTAGTATATGAATGTAGTTCATATTTTCTACATTATTCGAAATAATTACAATACATTATTAATAACATTAGCACGGCAATTACCAGTTCAGAGAAATAACCCTTTGACAATAGCCTTTTGCCGATAACTTCGCGTTATTATATACTTCATGTAAACATACTATTATCTAGCAAGCGCTATTAAACTGAACAATTTTTTTTAAATGTTGGACAAGAAGATAAAGTTTAAAATAAAAGATAGAGTTATACTGAAAATTTATAATTGCTTATCTCTATACAATAATCCTGCATGATTACTATCAACAAAAAATATTAATTTAAATAAAATTATATAATACTATAATATGATATGATTATAAAGGTTTTTGTTAGTTGTATCGTCACAAAAAAATTGTTTCTAACAAAAAACAGTCAAATTTTAAAACTTTTAAATCACTTGTTGATTCTCAACATTATTTACTTATACATCAGAATGAAATCTCGATTTATACAAAAAAAAATAAATAAATGAATATCTATTCGTCTTTGATGTACTCGAGATGACTTAGAATTTTAAATTAGCACATACAAATAAAGTAAAAATATTATTAAATTACAAAGTAAAATGATTTAATTTTGTAGTTGAAGCCTATCATATCACACTTGATTCGTCAATAAATACTTTAAAAAACATTAGAAATGAATGATTTTAATTGTCTGTATGGAGAACATGGGACAAGTAACTGTTTATTTGATAAATTAGAATTTTTTTTTCAATTTTTGAGGGTAATATCTTCAACTAGATACGAATTGTAGTCATTTGACGTATCGTTGAAAAAAGTAGGTTTAAGTTAGAGCAGAAAAAATAAATGATAGTTATAAAAAAATATCTTCTCAGCTTTGCAATGAAGCTAAAACTTAAAATAATTTTAATATGAATAAGAAATTTCTTCTCGCGAGTGGCGACTACAGTGATGGGATCCTTGATCTTTATTGAAGTTAATGAATCTAAATGAGATAAAAATCAAAGCAGTTGAAAATTTATTCTAACTTAAAAAGAATTAAGAAAATAATGCAAAAAATTCCTTGCCACATGCGGGTTGGAAATTTGTAC